CCGCCGCCGCCGCAGCCCCAGCTGCCGCCGCTTCCCCCGCTCCCGCGGCCGCTGTCGGAGCGCATCACCCGCGAGGAGGTGGAGGGCGAGAGCCTGGACCTGTGCCTGCAGCAGCTCTACAAATAGTTAAGTAGCGGGGCCCGGCCAGGGGTGGGCCCGCGGTCCTGGTGGCGCCGGCCTCGGACGAAGCTCCCCGCTGCCCGCCCCCCCCCACCGCCGCCCTTCAAAGACAAAATCCCCCCGACTGTGATCTTTTTCACGCTTCTCACTCCCGCACCTAGTGCTGCGGAAAGCGCCCCCGCTGCTCGGACTCGGGCGGGGGGCTTGTGCGCTGCCCACGGCCGCCCTGCGTCCCTGCGCCGGCCTCCCACCCGGCCCTCCCGCCGGCCTCCGACCCCTCCTTCCCTTTCCCCCTTCTTGCACATCGGCCGCCGGCTTCTTGCTTCACTTCACACACCCTGCCTCGGAAAGGAAGGTCTTTCCTCCCAGTCTTGAGCTTCCCCCCACTCCCCGCCCCCCCTTCTTTGCAACACCTTTCTTTCCGGAGGTTTTTCCTCCCACCCCCTGTCTGGCTTTCCCGGGCTGGCTCCCCGGTTGTTTAGCGGCACAGACCGCCGCGACTTCTTTCTAGACTGAGCTGTGAGGTGCCTCCTGCGTAACCGCAGCAATGCCAATACCGGACCCGCAGATCCGGATGAGCAGAGAGACTGGAGTATAGATGTTTTCCATCAAGGCGCTAGGGGTTGAAAGTGGAGAGCTCTGTAGATAGATGGTTTAAGACACCACGGGTAGCCTTAGTGTCTTCAGAGGCATTTGGCTGCTCCTAATGGAGGGAGGTGGGAAGGAGAAGTCTCATTTTGGCCAAGTGAGCCTTCAGGTGAAAAGCAGGATCATAATTGGTTAAAGTGGAAAAGTCAGGCTGGCTTGATAAAATTGCAATTAGGTGCAGTATTTTCAGTCCATTAAGCAGATGGGGTAGGAAGTGGAGGGAAAGCAGATGGCTTGCTACCCAGATGTAAGTCTAAAATAGAAAGGTCAAGGCTTTGCCTTTCATCCCAATACTGGTTTTTGTGGGCTTGAAATAGAAACTGTTTACAATTGCGTTTCTTTCTAATTGGAATTGTCCTGAAATAATGACAAAAGGGGAATACTAAGAAGTCTCTGAAAACGTTGGTAGACCTGAATCTTTTGCCATCCAGCTAATAATTGAAATGAAAGGTGTTATTCTGACCATTCAAAAAGTTTAATACTGCATGGTTCACTGCAGTTAAGTTCAAATTTACTTGGATTTTCTCAAAAGCTTAAGTGAAAGAAGGGCCTTGAAAATAAAGCTCTTTTTTTTAAATCATCATCCAGCCCAGTAGACACCTGATCAAATCATTCTCTTGTTAAAGCAGCCATTTATCAAAAGGAAAAACCATTTAACAAATCTCCTGTAAGTGAACTCTGCTGATGTCTCAAACTCTATAAGTTATCTAAAATTTAATTTTAAAATAATATTTGGTTACCAAGGGAATAATGATTTTTTTGGGGGGGAGGAAACCAATAAAAAACATGGCGTGTAATAACCACCACCCAGGGATAAACAGCATTAACGGTTTAGAGTATTTCTTGTCTTTATAAACTATCAGAGAAAAGGAATATGAAATGTCATTTCTTAGGTAATATTTAAAGATACTTAAAGATTTCACTTAAAATGGAAATATTTATTAAAGTGAGGGAATTTGTCTTATCATTAGACTAGCATTGTTTTGACAATTTTTACCTCTGCAAATGCAGTTACAGAATTGAAGGAACATAGTTCAAACATTAGAGAATGTCAAAAGAATTTTAAAAGATCGCTAGTTTAGTATAACCATGAACATCTTTAAATAAATAATTTTAAAAAATGAAACCTATATAAGATGATGGTATGGTATGTGTTTTTAATATGGGGGGGAAATGATTAATTTTGAGAACAGAACTTTTGGTTTGAAATAAATTTAGCACAATTAAAGGAGAAAATATGTCAACTTTAAGAGATTTCATATAAAATCAGATTTTATAATGTGCTCTGTTCAGATGTTGTTAGCCTGTTTTTAATCAGGCTGGCTGTTTTTAAAATGGCTGGCTTGTTTATGTAAAGTATCTTTAAGGTTCTGTATGGGTTAAAAAGTTTTAAAAACCCATAATGACACCTTTAGTTTTTATCTTATTTATAAAAAAAGAGCATATGACTTAGTCACAAGAATCAACACAGTAAAACTTGCTAGAGATAAAACATTTTTCTGTTCAAGCACTTAATTTTACAGATGAGAAAACTCTACATCTGTTCAGATGCAATAAAGACAAATTATGCAGAAATGATTATAGTATATATGTATATACACATATATATACATATATATATATATATATATATATATATATTTGTTGGTCATGGGCTGAACTCTTTGCCTGGGCGCAGTCCCTCAGCTCAAGGCTAGCGGCTAGCGCTCTACCACTTGAGCCACAGTGCTACTTCCGGCTTGTTTCTTTTTGCTTATGTGGTGCTGAGGAATTGAACCCAGGGCCTCAGGCATGCAAGGCAAGCGCTCTACCACTGAGCCACCTTCCCACCACTGAGCCACCTTCCCAGCCCCATGGGGCCCCTGTTTCTTGACTCTCCTAGTTGGAGGCTGCCTTCTGCTTGCCCTGTGAGCCTGGTCAGCACTCACACTTCGGATGAGGGTGTGGTTAGGGTGTGGTTAGGGTGTGATTTGCTTCCCATCCGTTTGTTTCATGTATTGAGGTAGGAAAGCACCACAATGACGGAATGGCGGACACCCACGTTCCGAATCAGGAGGATCACAGTTTGAGGCCAGCAAACCATTACTCTTCCTCGTTTTGGCTGGCTATTGGGTTCTTATTTATTCATTTATTTTATTTTTTGTGCCGGTACTAGGGCTTGAACTCAGGGCTGCTAGCTCTCACTTGCCTTTTATCGCTCACAGCTGGCATTCTACCATTTAACCCATGCCTTTACTTCCAGCTTTTTGTTGGTTAATTGAAGATAAGAATCTCCAGGATCTGTCTGCTCACCCCGGCTTCAAACCACAATCCTCAGATCACAGCCTCCTGAGTAGCTATGATTATCAGGTGTGAGCCACCGGCACCTGGCTGACCGGTGATTGGGATTTGTTTGTTTTTAAGTACAAAATGAGGACGGGTGCGTGTGTGGAGGAACGGGGCACTTCTGCACAGCTGGGAGAGATGTAAAATGCTTCAGCAGCTGTGGAAGATACCTTGGTCATTTCTCAAAAACTTAATCACAAAATTAGCACCTCACCCAGGTTTTCACTCCTAGGAATAGACCCAAAAGGATTGAAAACATGCTCTCAAACACACACGTGCACATACTTTGAAAGCAGCGCTGCCCACAGCTACCAAGAGATAAAAATCAACCCCACCTCCTCAAACAACGAATGGATTAAAAACTTGTAGGAAATACATACAATGGAATATTATTCAGCCGTAAAAAGTAATGAAATCCTCACTTTCACTAGGACACAGCACGGATAGCCTTGAAGACATGGCTGCGTAGAGAAGAAAGCCAAACTCAATTTCAATAAGACCTCATTTTTTTTTTCAGCTGTGGGACTTGAACTCAGGGCCAGGGCGCTGTCCCTGAGCTTTTCTGCTCAAGGCTGTCATTCTACCACTTGAGCCACAGCTCTACTTCCAGTTTTCTAGTGGTTAATTGGAAATAAGAGTCTCCTGGACTTTCCTGCCCAGGCTGGCTTTGAACTGTGACCCTTAGATCTCAGTCCCCTGAGTAATTAGGATTACAGGTGTGAGCTACCGGTGCCTGGCTAAAGATTGCATTTTTATTTATTTATTTTTTGTCGGTTGTGGGGCCTGAACTCTGGGCCTGGGCGCTGTCCCTCAGCTCTTCAGCTCAAGGCTAGCGCTCTACCACTTGAGCCACAGCGCCACTTCCAGCT